AAAAAAAAAACGCCCCCAGGCCTACGGCCTTTTCGCCTTTAACTGCGCCGGCGCCGCCGGCGCGCTGGCCCTCGCCCTGCTGCCCGGCGCCGCGTCGCTGCTCCCCCTCAGCGCCGCCGCAACGCTGCTGATGTGGCACGCCGCGGCCGGGGCTGCCGCGCAGGCCGCGCTCGCCGCTGTCGCGTGGTCTCAGTGGGACGCCTGGTGCCGCCTCTGCAGCTTCGTGGCCGCGAGCTTGCTGCCCGCCGCGGGCGCCGCCGGCGCAGGCGGCGACGCGTGCGGCGTCGGCGGCCTGGCGGCGCTGCTCTTGGTCGCGGCGGCGGCGCAGGCGCTGGCGGCGAATGCAAAGGCGCTCCTTGCGGCTGCAGCGGCGGCCGGCGGCGGCAGGGCCGCGGCCGCGGCCGCGGCCGGGGCGGCTCCTGCTCAGGAGGGCGCGGCAGCGGCCAACGCAGCCGCCCCAGTGGCAGCAGCCACCATCTCTCGAAAGAGCTTCCTCACATTCGTGCCCGCCGCCGCAAAGGGCGCCGCCGCCGCCGCCGAGCCGGCGCCCGAGGAGGCCCTCGCGGCGGCGGCCAAGCGGGCGGGGTCGGAGGGCGGCGCGCGGCTGATGGCCCGGGTCAAAGTCCTGGCGTTTGATGCAAAAGGGGAGGACTCCGAAGATGGCGCCGCCAGCCGGTGACGCGTGACGTCGGCAGACTGCTCAGAGTGCGTTGTTTGTCCCAAAACGACGCCTGGTTCCGCACGCGCTGCATTCGCACAGCCATGTGCGTGCGCGCCCGGCGGACCTCGAGGGGTTGGCGCAGGGAGTTGATATTCTTTGCCAGTTGGGGCCTGCCTTGGGGCCCTGATAGCTGTTGGGGTGGTTTCAGCTGATCCGTGAATCAGGGTCAGGCCGAATGCCACCCGTATCGCAGGACCAGCCTGCCTTGCACCATCATTCCGCAAAAACACAACATCCATGTATTGCAATCGCCGCTTAGAAAAGGAGCACACGATGCGTCTGTGCCGCCCCGCCCGCATGCTCGCCGCCACCGCACCGCTCGCGGGGGCTGGCCTGGCGGCTGCCACCCCGTCGCCAGCGGTGCGGCTGGCCGCCGTGCGCGCGCCTCGCAAGCGCCGTCTCGTACTTGCGCAAAAGCGGGTGGGCAAGCAGAGACGTTGTTGGCCCTGGCAGGTTTGCCTGTGCTGTCCCCTGCCGTCAACTATGAGGGTGCGGCCCGCCGGCACCGCTTTGCCCGCAGCTGGGTGCGTGACTGCTTGGCAGCACGACGCGCGCTGCACACGCCTGCTCCTCTCTTCACAGCGACGCCGCGACAACCGCACCCGCAGCCGCGGCTGTCCGCTCTCAGCGTCGCGGCCCGGCGCCCGGCCTGGACCCTGATTGGTTGCTGCAGCCCATACTTTGCCGCACCTCACGCATCCCGAGGGGATCCGACGCCGCCCGCCTCCTCCGCTCCTGTGCTTGGGACGAATGACCCAAACTTCCAACCTGAGTGCGTCAGCGGGTGGCGTGCCGCGCAGGTGCCGCCTGCCGCCGATATGCTGTAATCCACGTGAAAAGGGTAACCCCCAGAGCCCGATGACACCCTCTGGTGACACCACAGATGATACAGGGTCGGGTGCGGCGCACGCAGGCAGTGCTGGGCCTCGCATCGCACATCGACCTCGTCGTATGCTTTGCGGGCTCGCGGGGAGAGGGGACAACAAACCCCGCTGCTGGCACAGGCCCCTTTGCTGCCCAGTGCAGGCATGCATGGGCCACCAGAGAGTCGACCCCCAGCCCCTGCCACTGCCTCGAACACACAAAGCCCCCCACCCACAAGCTGCTCAAGCGGCGCGTTTAGGCTGAAACATAGCCGCCATGGGGCCGATCTAGGGTGCAGCACGCGCGTGACAGCTGAGCATTTGTTGATGGTTACACCGGTTTGCAGTTCCTGCAGGCTCGTAAAGGGGATCCAGTGCTTCGCAAACTCACTGAACGGGTGGGCTTTGCAAAATGAGGGAAGAAGCGTGTCGCAGCAAGGGGACCTGCCCGGGCCGTTGGGCCCCCGCGGTGGACGCACGCACGCGGCGCAGGTGACGCGCGTGCGAGCGGCGCGCCGGGCGGGCGGGGCGCGCCGGCCCCTTTGTACGGCAGCGGGGTCGGGCGACGGGGCCTGCTCCTGGCAGGAGTGATTGTCGTTCATTGTGGTGAAGGGGCGGGGTAAAGGGTTTGTGGTGACAACCAGGGACACTTTATTTGCCTAAAACAACCAAGGGGGCACAACGAGTGGGGGAGGGGGGGCCGGGGGTAGGCGCGAGCCGCAGAAAGAGGGGTCGCAAGGAGCTCAAAGAGCGAAAAGCAAACCTTGGCGGTTATCTTGGCGGCGGAAACCAACGCTTGGCATCCGGTGCCTGGCAGGGCGGCCGCGGCCGCCGCCTGCGTATTCCAGCAGGCCAATCAGATTCGTGCTGGTTTGCCTGCCACAAATAGACCGCACGCCCGTGCGGGTGCGAACGAATGGGGGAGTGCACCCTTGTATGAGATGTACAGCAGTACATGCAAAAACGAAGGAAGGAATGGTGTGGGGTGCGCTGTTCGGCGGACGCCGCTGCAACAAAGGGGATTCTGATGACAACCCCTGCCAGCATACCAAATCACCGCCTAGATGAGATGAGATGAGATCAGATCTGATCAGTAGTTGGTGTAGGTATAGTTGCCGGCCCACGTCGGGCCGCCACACGGCAGCGGGGACCCCTCAGGGATTGTAACCCGTATATCAGTCGGCCGTTCGTGCTCCACGTGCACAAACCACAGCCCCAGCCGCTCGAACGCCTTGCGTTTCAGGTGCTGCCCCGCGCGGCAGACCGCGTGCACGTACAGCCGCCGGTCGCTGCACAGCCCCTCGCGCAGCCGGTCGGGGGTGCACATCTGGCCAAGCCCCTCATATTGGTTTGGGTGCGGCTTGATGGCTGCCCAGCCCTGGGCGCGGTAGTGATCGCAGCGGTCGGGGCTGTGGCAGAGTTTGTAGCCCAGGCGCTCCAGCTTGTTGAGCCACAGCTGGTTGCCGTTAGAGTGGGACTGCGG